CTGTATTCATCCTTAAATACTAGCCCCTGGCATGGTAATTATCTATGACTTTTTAAAAGCTTGCTGACTTTCTCCCATCACCAGTTGGGGTCTAGATGCGCTGCGCTGGCCAAAGTCTTGCAATTCACTTTCTGCAGCTTAGATCCACTGCTTAACGTTAGGAAGATGTACTAGTTTTAAAATGATGTAGTGTCTTCGAGCCCCATGAATTATATATAAAAAAAAAAAAAAAAAAAAAAAAAAGGTAAAGAACTTCAGCAGAAAATGGGTAAACTCTGGCTTAAAACTGAGCACACCCTGAGTACTATGTTGAGAGGGCTGCTCCTGACTCTCTGGAGTCACTGAACTACTTAGAAATGAAGCATGAAGTGAAAAATTCCTGCAGAGGTTTTCAGACACCTCTGTCCTGTCACCCTGTGCTCAGTGATCCCGTTCAGTACGTGAGGCAGCCTCGAAACACTGAAAAGCTCTGGGGCTTCTTTCAAAATGAGTGACACAGTGCTTTGCTAGCTGTCACTTCCACCACTAATTCATACTTGGTGAATCCTCGGGGTTTTATTCAGTGTTCATTCTGTGCCATATACTGCAGTCTCTGGAGGGACTGAGAGCGTCTGCCTGGTGTAATCACTGGGGAAAAGCAGTGCGAGGCTCTGCCGGCTGGTCTGTAATTATTGCTGCTGCTGTTTCACCCGATGGCTCCAGCTGCAGGGGTGCCCCTGTGGTTCCAGCACTCTGTAGGGCGTGAGGCTGGGACAGGACTGTGGTGCCTGTGGGTCACTGGAGAGACACCCTCAGCTGAAATGAAGCAAAGCCATGGCTTCCTGCAGATTACTGCATGGGTCAGCGGTGGAGCAAAGGCTGGGAGCTGGACCAGCAGTCTGTGACAGTAACCTTCAGCAAGCAACCCAAAAAAGCTGTAAGATATGTCCAGGGAACAAGGAGAGGATACCCTTCACCTCAAAGTCCTTAACTGGTATAAAAAAGACTATACCTATAAATGTTACATGGTTTTTAAATTACCTTTTCTGAATAATTTTGTTATATAGTGTTTCTTGTCTGTTTTTCTTCATTTGTATTAATTTTAAGGATGAAAAAAATTCATGTTCAAAAACATTTCTTCCATAGACACTTTGCAAATTCCCTTCAGCTGGAATAAACCCTCTGGTGTGGCTGTGCCGTGCAGCCCAGCATGGGATCTCTTCCACTGTCTCAGATGTTCTTCAGGCTAAGCCAGGTTGGGAGTGATGCAACAGAAACAGCTCTTCCACCACTGCTGCTCAGCTGCCCCATGTCTGCAAGTCATCAGGAGCTCAGAGCTGACCGTGGAGTCTCTCTGTGCTTTTAAATTTTTTTTTCAGTTTGCAAGGTGTCTGTCAGTCTTTCTTCCCTCTTGCCAGGAAGACAGTGTTACTACATTTTTCACAATCAGAAGCAGACTTCCATTTCAGACCTACAGAGGTGAAGGGTAGCCATAAAAAAATCCCTACCATAATTCAGGGGACTGAGTTTTAAACCTCTGAGAAAAACAGTAAGTAGTAGGTATTGATTACATATGCTTTGTGCAAGCTTCCTACAATGTAAAACCAGAAAGAATAAAAAGGGACCACATGGAAGAAAATGCCTCTGGTTCCATTTCATCCAACTCCTCACCATCCTTTTCCAGAAATCACCCTCACTCATCTTGGAAGGCCATTCACTCATACCCCATGTCCTTTTACAGTTTTGCAAAAATGACACCATGCCATTTGCTTCCAGGAGAAATCCCAGCCAAAAGCAGGGGGAGTGAAAAGGGCAAGGGAATGCCACTCAACTCTCTGTGTGAAGTTCCCATTACACATGAGAACATGGGCACAACAGATGTGGCAGAGAATATTTTCACCCAGCCTCCTTGATTACAGAGCACTCTGGTGTCCAAATACCCCTAGATGTAAGAGCTATTTTGCATGAATATAATCACCTTTCATCATTACTCTTCTTCAGTTAGAAGTTTTGTCTAAAGCTTTTCCTGTTGAGGCCTGCAAGGGCAGGTTGACCAAATCATGTCATGAGTTCATACCAAATCCATAGATGTCTTCAGGTTAAAACAAAATAATAACAGAGAAGATAAAAAGTGGGAATGTTTCATTTGTCACTTTCAAAATTCGATGTTTTAATATTTCATTTTAGAATGACTATCCATTCCAGAGGTATTTCAAGGTTATAGAATATTTTAAAGTGTGCAAAAAAGATTGAAAGCAATTGTGTAGCAAGATAATTCAATTTGTCAAAAAAATTCTAAAGTAGTAATTTCAGGTTGACCTCAAGTCACTTTTGTCCATTAACGCTTGGATTTTCAGTTGACCCCAAAACAAGCTGAAAGTCCACCCTTTCCATCATGGCTGCATATATTCCCACAAAAAGAAAGAGGGCACAATAACTTGTCTGTTCCATACAGCTGTCCTCTGCCTTTTGTATCTCAGTATCTCCTTCTTTGGACTTAATGCTTGTAAAAAGAATTAGTAAAATATTAGAGATTGGTGAAATGTAGCAAAACACCAGTATGAAAGTGCAAAAATTGGTGAGTTCAGCCATCTGGCCAAGTCTTACGTATTAGCATTTTTTCCCACTTTTTCCCAAGATACATAACCAGGTTTTGTTGTCTTGGATTTCCAAAAGACGCCTGGCTCTATGTGTTTGCATTTGCACAAAAGCAATTGGTATTTTCTCTTTTTTTGCAAGTTTCCTTCATCTGTCTAAAGAGCAGAAATTTTACCAAGTGACGGGGGAACTTGTGATGCGGCACAGCTGATGGAGGCACAGTCAAGGTGAGCAACTTATACCTATGGGTCAAGGTTTTGGTCTGACCTCCATGGCTTCTGGGTGTTGGGCATATTTACAAAGATGTAACTTACTCCTCCTCCAGTCAAAATCTTGGCTTCTGTCTCATATGTCCTTTCCTCTGTCTCTCGCAGAAGGCAGGAGAGACAGACCTGTGAGTTGAATGATGTGCTCATATTGCTCTTATCGAACACTTGTAATTCTGAATGCAAATGGCACTTTTTATACATGAACAGAAAAAGGACTAAATTCACTCGATAAATTATTCACAACAGATAATTCAACTTGCTCTCATGGGAGAGTGCAATGAATGTCTGATGGTGTTTAAAAAAAAAAAAAAAAAACAAAAAAAACCCTAACTAATTTTTCCAACCACTGAAGTCAATGGGAAAACCTTTTACTGACTTCAAAGGGAGCAGAACCTAGCCCTAAGCCAGAGGGCCCACATACAACTTCCCTTTTAGTGGTTCTCACTTGCATTTATAGCTAAAACCCAGACAAGCATTTATGTTTTGAGGAGCCCAGACTAATGCTGTACAGCAGAGTCAGGCTGCCAGGGCACACGCATTATTACAGCTCCGGTTGAAAGCAGGTCTGCTCTGCAGCTGTGGTGCAGACCACTGCCCCCAAGCTGAAACAACCCAGCCTCCAGAGAGAGCCAAGGTAGAGGTGTTGTTTAGCGAGTCGGGAGTTCAGGGTGGTTAATTTGGTCAGGTTTGTCTAGTTTGAAAAAAAGAGGCTGAGGGGCAACCTAACTGCTTTCTGAGCTTCCTGAGGAGGGGAAGGGGCGAGAGAGATGCTGATCTCTTCTCCCTGGTATCTGGTGACAGGACGTGCGTGTGGGAATGGTTCAAAGATGTATCAGGGAAAGTTTAGACTGGACATCAGGAAGCAATTCTTTACCTAGAGGGTGGTCACACACTGGAACAGGCTTCCTAGAGAGGTGCCTGTCAATGTTTAAGAGCCCTGGACAATATCCTTAATAACGTGCTGTAGCTTTTATTCAGCCCTAAAGTGGCCAGGCAGTAGGCTTAGAGGAATGTTGTAGGGCCCTTCTGGCTGAACTCAACTGTTTTCCCTTCCCCTTCCCTTCTTCCCTTCCCTTCCCTTCCCTTCCCTTCCCTTCCCTTCCCTTCCCTTCCCTTCCCTTCCCTTCCCTTCCCTTCCCTTCCCTTCCCTTCCCTTCCCTTCCCTTCCCTTCCCTTCCCTTCCCTTCCCTTCCCTTCCCTTCCCTTCCCTTCCCTTCCCTTCCCTTCCCTTCCCTTCCCTTCCCTTCCCTTCCCTTCCCTTCCCTTCCCTTCCCTTCCCTTCCCTTCCCTTCCCTTCCCTTCCCTTCCCTTCCCTTCCCTTCCCTTCCCTTCCCTTCCCTTCCCTTCCCTTCCCTTCCCTTCCCTTCCCTTCCCTTCCCTTCCCTTCCCTTCCCTTCCCTTCCCTTCCCTTCCCTTCCCTTCCCTTCCCTTCCCTTCCCTTCCCTTCCCTTCCCTTCCCTTCCCTTCCCTTCCCTTCCCTTCCCTTCCCTTCCCTTCCCTTCCCTTCCCTTCCCTTCCCTTCCCTTCCCTTCCCTTCCCTTCCCTTCCCTTCCCTTCCCTTCCCTTCCCTTCCCTTCCCTTCCCTTCCCTTCCCTTCCCTTCCCTTCCCTTCCCTTCCCTTCCCTTCCCTTCCCTTCCCTTCCCTTCCCTTCCCTTCCCTTCCCTTCCCTTCCCTTCCCTTCCCTTCCCTTCCCTTCCCTTCCCTTCCCTTCCCTTCCCTTCCCTTCCCTTCCCTTCCCTTCCCTTCCCTTCCCTTCCCTTCCCTTCCCTTCCCTTCCCTTCCCTTCCCTTCCCTTCCCTTCCCTTCCCTTCCCTTCCCTTCCCTTCCCTTCCCTTCCCTTCCCTTCCCTTCCCTTCCCTTCCCTTCCCTTCCCTTCCCTTCCCTTCCCTTCCCTTCCCTTCCCTTCCCTTCCCTTCCCTTCCCTTCCCTTCCCTTCCCTTCCCTTCCCTTCCCTTCCCTTCCCTTCCCTTCCCTTCCCTTCCCTTCCCTTCCCTTCCCTTCCCTTCCCTTCCCTTCCCTTCCCTTCCCTTCCCTTCCCTTCCCTTCCCTTCCCTTCCCTTCCCTTCCCTTCCCTTCCCTTCCCTTCCCTTCCCTTCCCTTC